CCTTCAATCATGAGTCCTTTATTTATCAACACCACGTTGATAATACATTTTCCAAAAATCAAATTGTTCCCAAAGGGAAAGAAATCCTACAAAATTATGTCATTCAGAAATAGTTGGTCAGGCGCGGTGGCTCAAGCCTGTAATCCCAGCACTTTGGGAGGCCGAGACGGGCGGATCACAAGGTCAGGAGATCGAGACCATCCTGGCTAACACGGTGAAACCCCGTCTCTACTAAAAAAAATACAAAAAAACTAGCCAGGCGAGGTGGCGGGCGCCTGTAGTCCCAGCTGCTCGGGAGGCTGAGGCAGGAGAATGGCGTAAACCCGGGAGGCGGAGCTTGCAGTGAGCTGAGATCCGGCCACTGCACTCCAGCCTGGGCGACAGAGTGAGACTCCGTCTCAACAAAAAAAAAAAAAAAAAGAAAGAAAGAAAAAGAAATAGTTAAGAGGGCAGAGTCTAAAAGAACCAGCTGGGCTGCAGATTTCTTTGCTCCTAGAAGGACTCCGTCACCATACTGTCCTTCCTGGGTGGACAGTGGAAGGAGGAGAGACAAAGTGGCCCTAGAATAAATAGCATTAATCAGAACTTAAGAACTTTGGAGCCAGGTTAGACTTGTTGTACATTCATCCAGCTTTCCATTTATTGCCAACAGTAATGCCAAGAAATGTGTAAAGGTTCCTGATATTCTGGGGCACCGCTATAAATCTTCTATGCAGAAACCAAACCAGTATATACACGTATACACACACATAGGCATGGAGTGGACGGGAACAGTGTTTATGTTGGGATGATGAGAAAAGTTTAAGTATAGATAGTCGTGTTGGTTACACAACATTTGGGAATGTAATTAATGCCACTGAAATTGTATGCTACAAGTGGTTACAATTATAAGTTTATGTTATGTATATTTTACCACAATAATTTTTTTAAAGGACGGGAAACAGATGGTTAAGCTCTCTGAAGCCCTCCTATAGATCTACATACACCGAGGAGTCATTATGAACATCTGGTTTGACTGATGCATCTTGTTGGTCTCCAGGACTTCATTGTCAGCATCAGTACTCTTATTTCCTCAAGGTGGATATTGGCTATAAAGAGTAAAAAAAAAAATGTAAAAATAAAAACACCTGAGGTTCAATACCTCCTTTGCAGTCCTGAACAGGTATTCTAGTACTTTGCTTTTGAATGCTGGGCTATGTGCTATGCATTCTTTTGAGTTGTAGCCTCTGCTAAACTGAGACTAAACAAAGTCCTATTTTAACATCCTGTGACATATGCAAATAAGTAATAGAAAAATGAGGAAAATAGTATTGATTATTTCATACAATTCCTGTCAACCAATGTGGCTTCTAAGCATAAAAGTGAATCAAAATACAGAATGACAACTCTCAGCAAAGTAAAATCTTCCTGGAAACAGCCTGTCTTTGCCAACATCACTACCTACATCCTCAAATGCAGGTTTGAACATATACAAACAATCACATAATCATCATGTAAAGTGACTGAATTCAGATTTCAAGGCACAGAGGTGTATGATGTGGGCAGATCCAGACTCCTACGAGTTTATAAATAAAAAATTCCTATGAGTTTATACACCCTTATGAATCTATAAATAAAACCAGTTCCATGTCCAGTATTTATGGTAGACTCTACCATCAACACTTATTAAAATAAGGTTTAATTTCAGACCTAACACTCCACAGAACTGGAAAGACTAAGAAATGGTTCTAGTCCTCATGAATTGAAAGGTAAAAACAAAGAAAACTTTTCTAAGTCATGCAACAATGAGATGCAAATCCATTAACAGTATTAGTGCTGGGGAAAGAAAGGTCTAGGAGTTTGAAAAGAGATGTAGGCAAATCAAAAACAAAGGTAAGATGGAAATACTATGACTTTGGGACTGCCTCCCTGAGATGCAACTAAGGGTAAAGGAGACAGGTCAGAGGATCCACTTCCATTCTGCCAAATTCTAGGACTATCTAGGAAGAGCTAAAGATGTAGTGCAATCCTGTGTTTCAGGAGAAATAATTGGAAAAGCCTCATGGCATGTGGAAATCTTCTCCTTAGCAAAATTAGGCTAATAAAGAAGATGGGCTGGGGGTGGTGGCTCATACCTATAATCCCAGCAGTTTTGGAGGCTGAGGCAGGTAGATCACTTAAGGCCAGGAGTTCGAGACCAGCCTGGCCAACATGGCAAAATTGTCTCCACTAAATATACAAAAATGAGCTGGGCATAGTGGCACACATCTGTAATCCCAGCTACTTGGGTGACTGAGGTACACGAATCACTTGAACCCAGGAGGTGGAGGTTGTAGTGAGCCAAGATCATGCCATTGCACTCCAGCCTGGGCAACTAAGTGAGGCTCTTTTGGAAGGGAAATGGAGGGGAGGGGAGGAGAGGGGAGGGAGAGGAGGAGGAGGAAGAAGAAGAAGAAGAAGGAGAGAGAGGGAGGAAGAGGATGGGGAGAGGGAGGGAGGGGGAGGAACGAGGAAAGGAGAAGAAGAAGGAGGAGGAGAAGGAGGAAGAGGAGGAGGAGGGGAGGAGGAGGAAGAAGAAGAAGGAGAAAAGAAAGAAAGAAGAAAGAAAGAAAAAGAAAGAAAGAAAGAAAGAAAGAAAGAAAGAAAGAAAGAAAGAAA